TATTTTTATTTTTTTTCTCTTTAAAATAATTTTTTGCTTGCGCACATTCAGCACGGTTATGAATCGTTTGCATATTCACACATACTTTTTTATATTTACTCTTTGCATCCGTACATGATGGTGGCGACGACGGCATTTAAATCGAATTGCATTGCGCATCTGACTTATGACTTTTGTAAATATTAGTAGCACACTGCTGCGCATTTGCAGCGAAAACAACAACAACAATGATGTAGTGCGAGCAACAATGGGAAACGAGTGTAGGAAACAGTGGCAACAGCAATCAGCGTTGCTCATTTAAATTAGTGATATTCGATTTGTATTTGCTATTCATGCGCATGCTGATCACACACACACACACACCAATACACACACACACAACAGCCTGCCACAAAGCGCGTCTATGTTTTCACGCTGTTTGACTACCGGACCAACGTCCAGCCCAGACTTGGCGTCCAAGCAAATCTCCTGCTGTGTGCACTGTTGTAGACAAGTCCGTCCGGCGTTAAGCAGCCCCTTTGAAAGCGTAAACTGTGGACGTGTACATCGCTACTTTATGTTATATGTTGCTACTGCTGATGCGGCTGCTGGATTTACTGCGACTCCTTTTGCTGTTGTTGCTGTTGGGTTTGTTGTTAAGAATGCTCATTTTGCATATGTGTTTATTAGCTCTTTTCGCTCGCTTTGCTTTGCGGTTTGGATACTGCCTCCCTCTTTTTTTCACGCCGTTCATCAGCAGCTAGCTGGCTAGAAGCATACGCGTATGTAGCTTATGGCGACTGGTGACCACAGTTGGTGTCAGTTTGCGATATTTGCCATCGCACGTACATAACATACTTGTGTACATATGTGTATACGTATGAATATGTAAAGTATTGTATACTTATAGCATAATACAATATATGTATATGTATAAGCAGCTTTTGCAATACCGGTAGTCAATTGGTTGGCAGTTAAGGTTGTACCAATTCATATAATAATAATAAATAATTTCGGTCTCACAAAACTCGATACTCGATTGTTGGTGTGCTGAGCGCATTTAAGCTATGCCAATTTGTTGGCAAATCGCTTCCAGCTTTTTCTAGAGCTAACATATATACATACATACATACATATGTATATACGAGTGCAAACGTGGTCATCAAGACTGTCATAGCTGGGCGTAGTGGAATGTTAGCGGCACAATTTGACATATTGATTTTTTCATTATGGGCGTCACCAGTAAATTGGCTAAGCTTGTGCATGAATATAAACAGTAGCTGAAGCTATCAATTGAGGTTCTCTTTATAATCAATATAAGCTAGAAATTATTATGGATGTAAATATTTTATATTAATGTGGATTTTATCTCTTTTTTATTTGCAGGTAAGTTGGCGGGCGCACATATTTTGTGATGCGTCATCAATTGACGATATCGTATTTTTAATGCAGAGAAATTTATTTGGTAAGTCAGTTTATTCGCTCCTCACCCAGGCGTTTAAATATCGGCATAATTCGGAACGAAAACTTTCAAAGCTGGCGTGTTCATATCCATCCGGACCACATGACCTATTCAACGCAGCTGCTTTTTCCTTGACTCGCTGAACTATGTCAATACCGTCGCATATTTCATAGTAAAGTTGATCATTCCATCGGCTGTGGTAAGCGGCATTCGCAACTCGTAGATCTTACGCCCAACTTTTCTCTCATCAACTCGTCAGATGTTGTCATCATCCATGCTTCTCCACAATAACGATGAGCGACTAGAGTTTGGTTTTCGTTCCTCCAAAGAGCACTTTACTTTACAATTGACTATCCAATCTAAAGTAGCATCGGTTGGCTAGAGTGATTCTGTGTTGGATTTCCAGGCTGACATCGTTGTTGGTGTTAATACTGGTTTTAAGAGAGACGAAATTATCTACGTCCTCGATATTACGACAGTCAACAGTGACGTGGGAGCTGAGTTGCGAATGTAACGACTGCTTGCTTGATGACTGGAGTTATTTCGTCTTGTCATCGTTCACTACCAGACCCAGACCCTCGCTTCCTTATCAAGTCTGGAGGAAGTGGCACTCTACCACAATAATAACGGCTTGAAAACTTGTTCAGTGTAGAACGGCGCGGAGAGGTTCTTCTCATGTTTGGCAGAGTTTTTGATATTGCTTAACGTCAGTTTACTAAACCGCATACGTTTTGCGGGGATAAGGTATTCAGACAAAGTGACGTAAAGGCAGCTCCTCTTCAAGCTTTAAAATCGACTAAGAGGTGGTGTGTGTCGATCCTCTTTTCACGGGTCTTTTTGCGCATGGTTGACTTATCAGGTCTAAAGCCACACTGATAAGGTCCAATCGTCTTTAGTCTTTAATACAATACACTCGATAGGACCTTATATCGGAGACTGTGTGATCTTTGTGGATTGGGCAGAGCGCACTTAAGGTTCCAGGCAACTTTTTGATTTGCATCGTCTTTAAAGGACAATTCATGTAAAGCGATCTGTTTCAAAATGTTCTACACATAGTAGGAGACTGGTGCAAGGACAGCGTGCAGGATGTTAACCCAGAAATGTACCAGGAGGTATAAACCGCCTCATTTTAAGCTACGTATTTTAATTGGTGTGGAGATGATCTTAGAGCGCAAACTCAACTGAAGGCGACAAACAACAGAAAGGTCGCAGAAAGTTGTTAAACGCTGATAGTAAAAAGATGGCGTCTGAAACCGAATATCGTAGTTAGACTAATCCTTTCTACGCCGTCACCGCATTTTGGGCGGCAGTTGAGAAAATTACTTGCAGAAGCAAATTAAATAGAGTTCAAAACGGATGGATGCTATCCTGATAACAAGAACACTGCCACCAATTCTCTCGAAAGCAATTTTTTCAACTTCCTTCCTCTGGATCTGTGCGGCAATTACAAAGTGAATCTTCAAGCGAACTGCCACGCAGCGAGGTTGAATGCAACTTATCCGTGCAAGAACTGCAGTACAGGTTCACTTAAAATATTATCTCTTGCAGAAGGGCCAAAGGAGCTGGACTACTCTACCCTCTCCACAACAATCTCAATCAGAAATGAATGGGAAAGCACAAACGCCTTCGTTTATAGAGCCAGAGCCATTCTTACAGGTAGTTCAGAATAATAAAAAAGTAATTTGAGAACCTTCAAAAGTTCAGTACTTTCTGGATATGCCTCGTACACATGTTTTTTTTTGTTTTTTAAGAAGAAATTCCGAACTGTCTAGCTTTAATTTGCCTAATACATAGGAGCCCGGACCTCATCGCGATTGTTTCTTCCAAGAACCGTTATACAAACACGAACTTCCTTTACGGGATAACAACTGGCGTGAATGGAAAAGCGCTGGTTGTCATTGAGGTTGACGGAGGTGCTGAAGCAGAGCGAAAAGAGCCTTACGGGGCTACAACTATTTCAAGAAATATTAGTAGGACGTTGAACAGGTACAGAGGGTAGTTAGCTTGTAGTGTGATTATTTGCTACTTCCAAGCACTTTGCGGTAGCCCTTGTTATGCCACCCAAAGGGTTCGAAGGAGTAATTAAACGTAATCAAGTTGATTAAAAGATTTCGAAGAGCGACCGCAGCAAAATAGTAAATGGATTTAAATCGATCCTTTCCTTACTATGTTTTCGCTTCACGACTCTGGTTACATTTTCGGAGAATCGTCAGAGGAAATGCGCTTAAAAGACTGAAATGATTTCTCTTAGAATTTTATTTCAATGCATGACCAGCGAAGATCCTTGTCATCATAAATCAAGTCGATTGCTTAGCAGTGTGTATTGCTAGTGAGAAGGCTAGGCTTCGTGTGGTGGTCCGACGCACCAAAATTATAGAAAATAAAATTTTCTAATTGCTATCGCACCTCGGTAGAGAATGACAAGCATTACGAGTATATTTGTGACACGAAATAAAAGCTGCCCATAAATAACCATCGTACGTTCGGAGGCGGCTTAGAATAAACTTTGCTGGATAGTAATAATGGAGTTTTGCCGACGGACTATTTTTTTCAACTAAATAAATATACAATATGTACGTACATATCTACCTAATATATATTAACTTATTTATATACGAATTATCTGTGGTAATCAAAACCAAATGATCCATCAACTTTACAACAAACTAAATTGAATTCGCTACTATCTCTATTAAGCGAATGCCTCTAAACTTTCGAGTGTGATTAATGTTTGCTTTGACACATCAAAGTCACGGTATATATAAGATGTATAAGAGAGGCAATGCTTGAGCCGGATTTGAGTTTAGAGCAAGTCTTTGAAAATACGTCATACAAATTTTTTTTAGCTAAGAAACCAGCGGCACTCTGGATTTTAAGAATGTAAACATATGCACGCGGCTGACAACTTGTCGCCTTAGGATATGTGTATTTTAAAATATCTAAACAGTGATTTATGAAAAAAATTGATAGCGGTTTTTTTTCGTTTTTCGTTTTCGTTATTTGCTTGATTGCCTTGCAATGTAAAGTTAAATTGAAATTGGTGAATGTGCTTAAAAAAGCTGGTTTGCTCAACAGAAATTGAACGCTTTTCCTCGCTTGTTTAGTACTTAGTTTTAACATATTTATTTTGAATAAATTAGTAATAAATTTATTAGCGTAGCTAACATAATTATGTGTGTGACATTTCGCTTCACCTGCCTAGACCGTAAGTTCATAGTTGAAAAATCACGGCAAGTGAGCGATTATTGTGTTGAGGCAAGTATATGTATATATTTATATATATATGCTTAAGTATATCTAATAATTTTGCCTTCCACTGTTAACTCAAAATGCCTTTAATAATCGTGTAGCAATATTGAAAACCACATTAGGCGCTAAGGAGAAAATTATGATTTTGGCAAAGTAGATAATGATTTTGGTACTTGTTTGTATGTGTTAAGGCAGCGTTGAGCTTGTCTAGCAGTAAATGACTAAAGTGAATAAAACTGATAACACAACAACAACAATAACAACAGCACATCGTCTTATTTTAACTACGACGCTACATGAGTAAAAAAAAAATCATCTGAAAATTGTGCGCAATTTTTGTTTGCTCAAATCCGTCAAATCCATTGGCACGTTTTCCCAGTTTTTTTTCCCCCGATTTCATGTACAATATACATACATACATCCATTGGAGTATATCGCCTGCGGTCAGTTTCCACCGCACACTCGGCCATTGTGCGATCTTTCATCAACAACCACATTTCATAAACGATCATCGCCGTGATCGTGTCGGCTTGTGTTGTCTCCACCATTCAATGCGAAAGCGTTTGCTATTGCTGGCGGAGCTGAAGGTGACTACAGTCACATTGGCGAGTTAAAAGATTTCGTGACGAATGTGGGAACACACGTTCGTTGTAAATGAGTGACGCGTCGCTTGGAAAAGTGGGTAACAACGTGAATTTATTGGATGGACGCCTACAGCACGTTTAAAGTGACTAACTTGGCCAACAGGCAAGGAGGATCAACAAATCGCTGAAGAAGTTAGTGAGGTAATCCGTGAACAAAAAAAAAAAAAAAAAAAAAGAAAAAGGTGAGGCAATGAAAATGCTACAAAACGTTCAAAGATACGCTTTCCTACTAGTAAAAAAAAAGAATTTAAATTGAAAAAAAATACAAAAAAACCATAATAAAGCTTCTGCTGATCTGAAGTGGTACGAGTAAATAGTACATTGGTCGGTTGCTCTGTGGCAGTGGCAGTAGAGTTAGAAAATGAAGGAATGTGTTTCGTTGCTCACAAATCCGTGGTCTTGCGGCGTCTCACCTGTTTTTTTGAAAACGTTTGCAGTAAGTGATCGTGGTCATGAATACCTACAAAGTTGCTTGGAAAAGACGAATGATGAGTCAAACGCTTTCAATGGCTAACTGATTGACTGCTTAGTGGTCTTAACCACTGTGAACGTTGAAATGTATGTAACTGAATGATCGTTTGATTGACTGTTTTGCGGTGTTCATAGTTGCCTTGTTTGTGGTGTGGCGGTTAATGCTGCGTCTATGACCAAACATATTTTTGTTCTCTTGTGGTTTATTGGCTTATCTACGCCCACTGTCTGTCTACTTGCTTCTATTTCTACAGCTATTGGTGTGGTTGCCAGAAACTGATTAATGATTCTCAAATTGTTTGATATGTGGTTTTTAAATTTAATCGGGGTTCGTTGCTTGGTGGCTTGTATCATTGCAGGTTTAAGTACTTTGGGTTAATATGTTGGCGGTCAACATATGAAAATTACAGAAACTGATTCAAAATGTTGTTTGCTTTATAAAAAAACAACAACAAAAACAAGTCAGGAAGGGCGAAATTTGGCTGAGGCGACACATTAGACAGCTGGATGTTGTTGTTTTAGTGCCTTCTCTTATTCAGATAAAATTTATTTTATTAGTAGGTAGAGAAACTGCTAATATAATTATAGCAATGATTGGTGACACGCCAGCTATTACAACTTGCAACTTTTTCTATGCAACCCCTCCACTGATTTTGCCAGGGACGCTGCGTCGAAAAATCTTCAAAACCCTATATATATCTATATTGAAGAACACTGACTATGTGGTAACGTAGTTGTTGAAATTTAATTCGTTCAAATGGCTATAAATCCTCACGGCACACAGCGGTTCCGAAAGCCAAAAACGTGGCCAAAACTCGAACAGAACTGCTTCTAACTGCCAGATATGTTCCATGGACCCTCAAATAGGGTCGTTTCGAATAGTTGACATACCAACTGTCTTTCGACCACGTTTTTTGGTACCACGATATGATGACTAGGTCCGGTGGCAGCCAAGGCGTAAATGCACTGATTATTTTCTGTTGGTGGGACATTCTTTAAGCGTGTAAAGCATTAGGTTCATATGGGTACATGGTAAATTTTGTCAAATTTCGTCCAGTGTTTTGTGGAATATATGTATGCTATATGTATGAAACCGGAAAGGAGCCACACGGCTTCTTCAGTTATACATTGTACATAAATGTGATTAGTTTCAAGTTTGATTTGAACTAAGCGTTAGTTTAACCAGTTCTGGAATTTTTCTTTGGTAATTTCATTTAACCACAGGAATTGGTTGCGATAAGTCTTAATGATTAAACATATGACTTCTTAGTCTATGTCTTCCTTAATTATTGTGTTGCAACTTTAAAAAATTGTAAGAAAGTATCAGAAAGAGAAAATATGCGCACACAATAATTGAAATCGAGTTCAAGAATATAAGAAATAACAAAAATTTGTTTTAATAATTGTAGGTTTTTTAGAGCAGTACAAAATCTTTATAAAAATCTCTTAATTACGCTTAAAGTCGCCTAAGTCCATTAAATTTCCAAACACTTTTAGACTCAATCCAACCGTTAAATATGTTGATATTTGGAAATCCAGAGTCAGCTAATTAGTTATACAGGTTGCCCTATGTTGGTTCTATGAAGAATATTCCTCTCACTTTTCCAGATGCTCTAACCCCTTTGTTTATTTTACGAAAAGGTTAAAGATACCTAGAGATGCCTGCTCTGCTAAGCCATTGGAGAACAAATTTCTGATAAATGAATACTATGCCATCCTTCTACCATGAGTTCCCGCAACACCGTGTCCGGTTAATATCCCGGCTAATATGGTTATGGAGGTTCTGTTTAGAAGGAGTAAAGACTTAATTCTGTTCACTTAGATCAATTGCACGTGGCTCCACTTTCTCCTCTGCTGTTGGCACTTCTGGTGAAAGCTAGTCTCAACAAATAAGTAGCAGAGGAAAGATGTATGTCTACATTATGAGCAGAGTTTACCGGCATTATGACTTGTCTCCTATCTGGTCAGCTCATCGACCCCGCAGTTCCCTGGAAACAGTCAAAAAAATTCCAGCTGAATTTTTTATAAGGGGCAAGACCAAACATTTCTGAGTAAACAGGTATAGTGTCGAGAATTTCGAAGTGAAACTACCTTATAGAATTTTTGTATTATGCTTTTTTCTATAATTTTAATTTTATTTATTATTTTCATTAAAGAATTTAAAAAAAAAAATGTTGACAAATGTTAATTTTATTTATTATTTTCATTAAAGAATTTAAAAAAAAATGTTGACAAATAAAATTGAAATTTGAAAAATTTGAGCAACGAACGAATATCGAGCTGCCCATAGTGCTCGATAACAGCGTATCTAGAGCTCTAGTATATATGTATATATATACAGCACATATTTCCTTCCTAAAATATCTTCAAATATTCCCCATTTTATCAATAGCGAACGAGAAAATTATTTTCCCCCCCCAGACTATAATTTACACTATAATTAAAATAAATTTCGCAGTTTTGCGATAACAAAACCAACTCATACGAAATACGCTTAATTCAACAAAAGAAATTACTATAATGAAAAACGGACCAAAAGAATAAAAAATAAAATTCATTTAAAAGCTACAAATGTAATTTATTAAAATGTCCGTTTCATATATCATTTCAAATTGATTGTGGATTCCTTAGGGCGACACACGACATTGCCAACGTGGAACTGAATGCTAAATACTTTATTTTCGACGAGTGACCAAATGCTTTCACAGACACACTTGCATGACATGACTACGGCAGATAATATGTGGTTTGTTGTTGTTATTTAAATAGTTGCCGTTTTGAAATTTTTTTATATTTGTATACAGCTTTTGCTATGTATAATAAAAAGTGTTTTATTGTTGTAGTTTTCATTAATAAATAAAAATAACAAATAGTCAGCAATTATTGACACGCAAATGTCAGGCTGGCGTTATACAAGTACATACATACATACATATTATATGTAGACATGCCGACTGACGTTGGTCGTTGGTGATGATGGTGATCATAATGATATGTATCTGAAAGATTATCATGCAAAATATATTTTCATTGTAGTTGCCGCTAATTATGTTAAAGAAGCTAATGAAATGAAATGTAGCCGTGTTTTCATACTGCACCGCAATGAAAATTATCTTTATGATTATTAACTTTGACGTTCTTTCGTTTCGTTTTTTTTTTTGTTTTTTTTTTCGCATATTTCTAATTTGATCAACTATTTTGTTGGTTGAATGCTATGTTTGCTTTTTATATATTTAATTTAAGGAAAAAGTGGTGAAACCTTTTTGCTCCTGTGTTTATACAAATAGCAATAAATTATGAGCTATTATGGCAAAAAATTACCGTTACTTTCGCCTGCATATTTTTGCATGAATATATATATTTTTTTGTTCAGCTATTATTTTCATGCCACAAATACATTTGGTACCGACAAGAAGCGAAAAAACTCGTTTTGAATACACGAAGAGATTGGAAAAAATTTTGTATGAAATGAAATAAGCTTTTTCTTCGATACATATTGGAACCCTCAATTAGAAGCAGAAGAAACGTCTTAATATATTCTTTATTGTTAATGCAACACATATATATATTTTAGGTGAAGTAAAACGAAATCCATTAATTTTTGCATGAAATTGAAGTCCATAATTTTTCCTTTTTGTATTCAGCCTTTTTCAAACGGTTCTAAACGCTTTTTGGTGCAATCTTTAGCTCTCGGGCAATCGAAACTGGTCGGACAGGTCGGACCCGACAATTTTTCGACATTTTCGACAATGGCTTTCCACGAAGCATCTTTTGCATCAAAACTACCAAAATGAAACCTAAATTGTGCATGATTGACTGTGAAAGTATCAAGATCTATCTTTGACGCACGTTCCAAAAAAACTGAATCAACCAATCACAAAACTGTCAGAAAAGTTATTCCAGTACGAAATGTCACCATTCTAACGCCATCTAGCGTAACCCGACCGGACTTAAACAACGCGAGATACAGATAAATAACTCCATATATTAGAAAAATAATGGATTCCTTCTTACTAAGCCAATTTGTGGTTTTGCGTCTTGATGTTTTTTCCAATAAATGGAGGGACCTCCAGTTTGTACTAAGCCGCCTCCGAACGGCTGATGGTTTTTTATGAGGAATATTTTATTTCATGTCAGAAATACACTCGGCGGGGTTGAGGAGCCGAGGAGCGAACGCAATTAGAAAATTTAACTAAATTTTTTAATGAAATAAATTTTCTAAATTTCTTGGATGCAATACATACAATGAAAAAAATAATTTCAAATTGTTTCCTAAGACCGTCATCTTGTCATACGGGGGCAGCTGATAATCCAGCGAACTAAGATGATATGAAACATCACCTTTTTACTGATCTCATTGCGGGATTCATTATTAGTATAAATAACACAATTTTTTTTATTAAGTTCATTAAAATTTCGTTCCTGGAAAAAGCAACAACAACTTGTAAATGGAAACTGGTATTTCTCGCAAATTTGCAAGAAAGGGAAGTTCGGTTAATCAGGATTCTGCCTCTTCATATACGATGGTAAAAAAATGGAATTAACTGTTTCAAGAAGGAAGAGAGATCTGTTTAGATGACCCCCTCCCGGGGCGCCCGGTGTCGGTCATTACCGAAAAAATGTTCAGAAAGTCGACAAATTAGTATGAACTGACCAAAGAATTAAATTGT